CCAGTCCTGCCTGCCTCAGGAAGGGCGTCCCTGCTGGCTGAAGGCTGGAGGAAGGCCATACATCTAGGAACTCTGGCCCTCCATAAATCTTCAACAAATGTTGCCTCTGGCTGGTATTAGCAGCACAAGTGCACACTGCCTTACCCAAAATCTCAGGGCCAGAGGAGTTTCAGAAATCAGAAAGGTGATGGGGACAGACCATATGACGGTGACACCCTTGCTGGGTCTAGCAAACACGTGGACAGTGCTGCGGGGAAACATGTGACCGTTAACACCGAGTGTTACTAACAAGCCAAATAAAGAACGGAACCAGAAAGAGATAAAGAAAATTCAGGATTCTCTAAATAACTTCATGCCATCCGTTTTCAGTTTTACCACCAAAAGAGTTTAGGTCAAGCTTATGAAAACACCCAGGCTCGGTGGTTGAGCGTCTGCCTTTGGATCAGGACGTGATACTGGGTCCTGGGATCGAGTCCCACTTCGGGCTTCCCGTAGGGAGCCTGCTTCTTCCTCTTCCTGTGTCTCTGCCTCTCTCTCTGTTTCTCATGAATACATAAATAAAATCTTTAAGATGAAAAGAGAACACTTTTGGTTACCAAAGCTTTATGAATGACAGAATTGTGGATAGCAGATCCTGGACCTGGGTGACCTGAGGCAGCAGGCTGACACTGACTCCCACACAGATCTGGGAAGAGACTCCGAATTTTATGCCTCCCCAGCACCCACAGAGCCCCCACTTCTCAAACCTGGGCAGTTCAAGTAGGCTCACGATGCCTCCCCATTGGCCCCAGGGGCCACTCACTATACATCTTTGGTCAAAATCCATGCATAGCACCTGAGACCCCAACCAGGCCACATCCTGTAGGAGCTTTGGGACCGGGGGCCAAGGGTGTTACTACTCTTCCTCCTCTTTTACAAGCTAAAGAGTTTTTGGCATCTGCCTATCTCCCATCAGCAGGTGTCAAGGCACAGGCCAGCACCCACACACTCTTATGTAGCAAAGCCTTCTCTGGAAGAGATGCCTCTTCAGCCACAATTTGCAGAAGAATGCTTTATGGTTTATAGATCGCTCTCATGGGAACTACCTCATGTCATCCTCACCCCCAGGAGGTAAACTGGAAAATATTATTACTCCTTAAGATTTTTATATCATGCCCATCTTTTGGATGGAGGAAATTGAGGTTCAGAGAGGTGAAGTGATTTGCTTGGACTGACACTGCAGTAGTGGCAGTGCCACAGATCAGTCCCAGGTTTGTGGCCATAGAAAAAACATTGTACTTCCTGCCGTGCTTCCCCTGCAGAGGACAGGAGCCTGGCCAGCCTCTTCTAGATAGCTTTGTGTGTGCACTCACACACTTCCCTCTGTGGGCAATGAATGCAACTTCACAGCGGATCAACATCTGCCAAACTCCTAGGCCAAAAATTCCACCGCAGACCCGAATTAATGTGCCCTTCACAAACATGCCTGCTCCAGCCAGCAACCTTCCTTCAGTTCTCTGCAAGCATCTGGCCCTTTCTGGCAGCCCTTCCCCAACTTTCCACCCAAAAAGCCCTGAGGTGCCTTCAAGACCCAGCTCTTCCTCTGTGAAGCTTTCTGCAGCTCCTTTCTCTACACCAGTAGTTCCTTCTTATTCACATTTACCCAAACTCATTCTGCCTCCTTTCAGGTCCCACAGCTTGCACGCCTGCCTGGAAGTTGCTCCCAATCAGCCTGGAGTAGCACAGAGGTGAGTGCACACCATCAAAGAGCCTCTTTGGCTCACCACCGATGGGTGGCCACTGACTTGAACGTGCTTTGCCTTACGAAGCTTTGTACCCAGATCTGCCCTCATTCATCAGGCTATGTGGACACCAGTGCTAGTAGACACCTGGATGGCAAATGCCCTTCCTGATCCAGCAGGTATCTGACATACAAGTGGCCAAATCACCTCCCACTGTGTCAGCCACAGGGCAGAGTGCTGTGGCTCTGCCCTAGCAAAGGTGGCTGGTGCCCTGCATGTGCCACTCAGCATATACCTATACCTTAGCCACTCCTTCTGGGTGCTGACTCATCCATTCAGTCAATATGGATTGCAGGGCCTCAGGCCCCGCTGTGAGAGCCTGACCATGCATGCCAGGCTGGATGCGGACCCTGCAATGATGATCCTTGCCCTTCATCCCTAGGCTGGTAGAAGTCAGGTCAGCATCTGGTTCAAAGGAACACCCTGCCCAACCCCCCTCTCTCCCTGCTCCTCTAGTAGGTGTTCGACCCCAGTCTTTGGCATTCATAACTCTCTCTTAGGGTCAGCTTCCTGAAGGACTTAACCTGAGGGGTTCCAGAGTGGCCCAAAAAGCAGGTGATGAGATGGGGTTCTAGATATGGGGTTACTCTTTACCTGCCCCACTGGTGACAAGGACCCATCCTGGAGGACAGGTGGTGTGCAGATAGCCTCAAGCATAAGGATAGAGTCCAGCTTCAAGAACCTTCACACTAGAACTTTTCACTGGGCTGGCAGGTGAGAAGATCCAAGTATGTGGAATGTGTGATGTCAACTCCAAGGACAATGGGAATGGATGGAGGTGACCTCTCTGCATTGATGGCTCACAAGCTCATGAGAAGTTAAGGGTGATTAAAAAGCTGAAAATGAAGGGAGTTTCCTCCACAGTTTTCTTGGTAGCTTACAAAGTATCCCCCACCTCAGACCGTGGGCAAAAGTCAAACTCAGGATTTGATAGGAAACTTCGAAGATGGCTGAACGTTTAATTAAGGCAGGTATGTCATATCAATATCAGAAGCCCACTTGGGAAAACCTGCATCCCTGCCACAATCTAGGGGAAGGGACATCTAAGGGAAGGCCCCAGAAGAGACAGACTCCAAAGATGATTCTGAAACTTGTGAATCTGTGGCAGTGGCCCACCCCTTCCCATGAAGAACCAGAACGTCCACCGCACCCCTAAGGGAGCAAAAAAACTACACAAGTCTTTCCCCACAAGTGCTCTCCATCCCAGGAGGCAGGGTGACTAACCATCTTGATTGGCTACAGAACTTGCAATGCTATAAGCAGAAGAGTCCCAGGAAAACCAGGAAGAGACGGGCAGCCTACTGCCAGGCCCCCAACCAAAGAGGAGGAATCTGAAACACAAAGAACCAAGGTGGAATGAGGATCCACACTTCAAAAAGGAGCCTCGGTGTCCATCGAAAGATGAATGGATAAAGAAGATGTGGATTATGTATACAATGGAATATTACTCAGCCATCAGAAATGACAAATACCCACCATTTGCTTCGACGTGGATGGAACTGGAGGGTATTATGCTGAGTGAAATAAGTCAATCGGAGAAGGACAAACATTGTATGTTCTCATTCATTTGGGGAATATAAATAATAGTGAAAGGGAATATAAGGGAAGGGAGAAAAAATGTGTGGGAAATATCAGAAAGGGGACAGAACATAAAGACTCCTAACTCTGGGAAACGAAGTAGGGGTGGTGGAAGGGGAGGAGGGTGGGGGGTGGGGGTGAATGGGTGACGGGCACTGGCGGGGGGGCACTGGGATGAGCACTGGGTGTTATTCTGTATGTTGGTAAATTGAACACCAATAAAAAATAAATTTATTAAAAAAAAACAAAAAGAGCTCCCCCTGCCACTCTTGATCTTGGGGACATGAGTTTAAGCCTCATGATGGGTGTGGGTCCTACTTAAAAAAAATTAAAAGAAGAAAAGGTGCTTTCACAACTCGGTACAAGAGCTGCAAGCCATTCAATAGAAAGACGGGCAAAAAGTACTTCAGAGAGGAGGAAACCAGACCTGCCAAGACATATATGAGGGAAACCAGGGATTTGGGTCAAGCTGATCCCAGACCCATGGTGTTGCAAAACATGTGGCAGGAGCAAACCAGAGGCCTTTCTGGCCTTAAGGTTAAAGAAGCACAGGGGGTGGGGAGGCAATGGCATTCTGCACCTTGTGGTCTGCACCTCCTGGCAGGTGAAAGAATGGGTGACAGGCTCAGGGAAGGAGAGAAAGGGAGGAGGTGCATACGGATCACACTGAGCACAGAGGATCAGGTAGGCAGGAGAACATCTGGGCCAAAGAGGACAGCAGAACCAGAGTGATGAGCACTAAGACAAACAGCAGGAGCCAGGTCATAAGGGGGCAGCTGCAGCCAGGGGCCTAGCAAAAAGGTCACCGGAGAGAAGGATGAGAAACTACAAAGGCAAGAGGCGCTGTCTTGGAGACAGTGGCACGGCAAAGAGCGATGGTGAAATACCAAGGACTTTCTAAAAGGAAGACACGGTGTATTATGGACACAGAACTGTGGTCTGCAGAAAATGGTCTCTGCAGGCCTGAGGCCTAAACTCTACGAAGACATGGCCAGCATTCCTGTTTCCTCCAGGTTCTGCAAAGAGACTGTGCAGCTCACTGGAAGACAAAGCAGTCCTCTCTGAGTGACTACCGTGTCCTGAGCACCTGGGTTACAGAACCAAGGAAGACATAGTCCTCGCCTGTGAGGAACTTGGTGCCCCTGAGGGGGCTACAGACGCATTTGCAGCACTGGGAGATGAGAGTCCAGGGAAGAAAGGTAGGAAAGAAAGTACAGAGTGCTTCCAGAACTGGCAGAGAAGAGTGCTTCATGCTTGGGCGTGGGGCAGTACAGCCTGGAAGGAGGACAGGAGTTTGCCAGGGGAAGAGGAGGTGGATATTCCAGGCTGCAGGCAGTGTTTGGAGAATATGTGCACTCAGGGCACAGGGAATCTGCAGCACAGTGACCCAGAGTGTTTGGCTATAAGGATGGAGAGAGCTAGTGGCATTGGCAGGCTCTCCTGGAGCCCGAGGTGCCGGGCCTAAATAAGAGAGGGTTCACCTGTGTTTTCAGTACAGGGTTGCTGAGGAGAGATGTGCGGCTAAGAAACCAAACTGAACTGCCGGCATGTGGAGGACTCACTGGAGGACGAAAGACGGAAATGTCCAGGCAGGTGGGGAGGTGCAGACCGCAGGTCTGAACTCAAGGAAGTAGCACTGGGGACAGCAAGAGGAGAATTTATTCTGATCAGGCATGTGGGAGGCAGGGACACAGGACTCGGTCACCAACCAACTACAGAAGGAGCGTGAGGGTAAGGGAACCCAAGGAGCAAAGCGCCACAACACTGAGTGTGTGGAGCCCCTGACTGGGAGGTAGAGGATAGGAAACAGCACCGACAGGGCAGTTGGCTTCATCTGGCGCAGGTCAGGTTAGAGGCGCAGCAGGAAACACAGAAGAATTTCTCTTCTCACCTGCAAAAAAAGTTCAGATACAGACCCCGCTGGCCGTCCCAGGGTGGCTTGGAAGGAGACTCGCCCGCCCCTGCCATCAGCTCCCAAGGGGCAGGCCTCACCCGACACGTCCCCGCCGCCCCTCCCCGCCTCCGTATTCTCGGGAGTCCATTCTGAGAGTCACCTGAGGTCGCTGAGGTCCCTGGGGCAGCCACGTTGTTCACACCGCTGCGGCGCCGACTTGATGCCTGTCGCACGGGGGTCAGACACTACCTGGCCTCGGCCACCAGGCCGCCCAGTCCCAGCCCCCGCGTCGCTCCCGGGGACCCACTCCCGCCCCGCCCACCCCTGACTGCGCCCACGAACCGCCCACCGCTCCTGCCCGCCCTCCCCGGTCACGCCCCGCCCCTCGGCCCACCATTCCCGAAGGCCCCTCCCCGGCAACCCCCCCCCCCCCGCCGTCTGCCCATCAATTCGGCCCTACCAACCCCGGCCAAGCCCCGGGACCTCCCGCCCGACCATCACTCCTGCCCTCCCCCCCGGACCACGCCCCCCGACCGCCCACGACTCTGGCCCGCCCTTCCACGGCCACGCCCCTCCCCGCAGGCACCTCCCGGCCACGCCCCCCAGCCGCCCACCAATCCGGCCCTACCAACCCCGGCTAAAGCCCGCCCCCCGCCCATCACTCCTGCCCGCCCCCCCGGCAACGCCCCCCCCCAGCGCCCACTACTCCGGCCCGCCCTTCCCCGGCCACGCCCCGCCCCCCTCCCCACTATCCCCGAAGGCCCCTCCCGGCCACATCCCCCGGCCGCCCACCAATCCGGCCCGAACAACGCCGGCCAAGCCCCGCCCCCCGCCATCACTCCTGCCCGCCCCGGACCACGCCCCCGACCGCCCACCACTCTGGCCCGCCCTCCCGGCCACGCCCCTCCTCCCGCAGTCCCCTCCTGGCCCTCCCCCGGCCGCCACCAATCCGGCCCTACCAACCCGGCTAACCCCGCCCCCTGCCCATCACTCCTGCCCGCCCCCCCGGGCAACGCCCCCCCCAGCGCCCACCACTCCGGCCCGCCCTTCCCCGGCCACGCCCCGCCTCCCCCGCCCGTCATCCCCGCAGGACCCTCCCGGCCACGCCCCCCGGCCGCCCACCAATCCGGACCCACAAACCCCGGCCAAGCCCCGCCCCCCGCCCATCACTCCTGCCCGCCCCCGGACCACACCCCCGACCGCCCACCAATCCGGCCCCACCAACCCCGGCCAAGCCCCGCCTCCCCGCCCACCCCGTCCCAGCCACGACCCGTCCCTCCGCCCACCACTCCGGCCTGCCCCTCCCTGGCCACGCCTCCTAACTACCCCCCCAACTACTCCTGCCCGCCCCCCACGGCCACGCCTCCCAACTCCCCCGACAGTCCCGCCCAGCTCCTCCCCAGCCCCGCCTCCCAGCTACACTAAGAATCTCACCCAGCCGCCCACCCCCACCCGGAGCCGCGCCAGTTCCTCTGCAGCTCCTCCTCCCAGCTATTCCACCAGGCCCACCCCGCTCCTCCCCAGCTCCTCCCCACAGCTGTCCTCCGGCTCGCCCCACCTCCGCCAGGTACCCAAACAGGCCCTCCATGCTCCGCCCTAGCCCCGCCCCAGCTCCTCCCCCCAGCCTTCCCTCAACTCGCCCTACCCCTCCCCAGCCCCCTCCTGGTCCTCCCAGCCTCTGCTCCGCCTCAGTCCCGCCTGCACCTCCACAGCTCCTGCCCCGAGCCGTGCTCCAGCCCCAGACCCTGCTGGGAGCTACTTCTCCAACCCTTCGGCCAATCCGTCCCTGCCCCTTCCCAGCCCCGCCCCGCTCGGCCGCAGCTCTTCCTCCGAGCTTTCCACCAGACACGCCCTACTCCAAGTTTGCCTTTCCAGGGTCTCCCGCCCTGCCCTACAACTCCCCAGGTCCTCATCCCCAGGGGCCCACGGATAGTCCTGTGCTCTGCCCCAAGCTCCGCTTACCCAGCGTTCCCCAGAACCCCGTGCACCTCCCCGGCTACACCGCCAAGGCCCAACCTGCTCTTGGCAGAGCACCTCCTCCGCAACATTGCCGCCGGCTCCGTCCTGCTCCTTCCCGCTCACTGCCCTAGTTCCTCCCCAACTCTTTCTCACACCCGGGGCTGAATCCTCTGGCAGGTGCGCCCCAGCTACTCCCCCAGCCCCGTCTCACAGCTCCCGCCCCCACAGCTCCTTCCCACAGGCCCGCCCCGCATTCTCCTCCCCAGCCCCGCCCCTTAGCCCCGCCCACAACCACGCCCCCAAGCTCGCCTCGCCCCGCCCCTTCTCACCGACCGCTCGCCCCACCCCGTTGTTTCTTCCTTCCGGTTCCGCTCAGGCCGCCGGCGTCTACCTCCCGGTCCAGCCTGATCCTCCCGCGCGAGTCGGGGCCGCGTGAGTCCAACGACGTCTAGCGGCCGGGGCCTGCGCGCCTATGTGCGTGTGCACGTAAGTGCGTGTGTGCGGAACTGCTTGGCTGCGTGCCTACGGGCTTGCGCACGAGCCTTCTGCGTACCCCCGTGGGCGCGTAAGGACGTACGTGGGTTCGAGCCGGCGTACGCCACGCAAAGACAGGACGCCGGCGTCTGTGCGAGCCTATCAGGTGAGGGGCCGGTGGCGCCTGTCGCCTGTCACCTGTCGGTGGTCCCCGGTGCTGGGCCGCAGCGATGGCGGGACAGTCCCGACGCGGGCAGGGCGCTCTGTCGTCTCTCCGCTGCCCGCCTCGTCTCCTCGCCTGAGCGTGGGGGGGGCGGGGTGGTCCCCCGCGCCCTGGGACTGCCAGGTGGGCCTAGCGCGCCCTTGGCTCGCTTGGCCGGTGGGACAGGTGCCCGGAGGCCCGCCCCCACCCCTTGCGAGGGGAGCCAGGAAGCCTTTGTGGCCCCCGCCTGCTTCACCTGGCGTGGGACAGTACCCCTGGGCTGGGGTTTCCCGGACTCGGGGGGCGGGGCGGGGCGGGGCGGGGGGTCTGGGAGCATGCGCAGAGCGGCCCAGGCCACCATTCCCTGCCCCCTTCCCCCGCCACAATCAAAAGGCCCCCCACCTTTCTAAGTGCATATACCAGGGAAGGATGTGCGCGCCAAGAAACGTGAGCGTGCCGGTCCACGCGGACCACTCTGCCCTCACTGTGCCCCTCCTCGCCTCCCCCTGGGCCCCCAGGCTGTGACCTGCCTCACCGAGGACCCCCCCGGCTGTGCGGCGTTGAGCTGCTTGCCCTTGGCACTCATCCCCGTGGGGCCTACTCAGGATTTTATTGAGGGGAACCGGATTGCAGGGCGCCCAAATCTTGTGACGGTGGAAGGGGGGTGGTGTCTTCTTTCTCCTGTTGGGTTCGGGGCGGGCTAGGCTGTGCGAACATGATCTGCTTACGTGAAATGATTTTCTCTGCTGCCGGCTGGGGCATGATTAGCAGAACCAAACCATGAGGGGTGATTCCCATCTGGCGGGCCCTCCTCAGTGCCAGTGGCCCCCCATCCCTGCTGAGTAGAAAGCCTGTTCTGGCATGTTAGCCAACATTGTCGTCTTGTACCTAAAGAGTTTTTCTCCTCCACCCACCCACCCCCAATCCTTGTGCAGGTGAAGAAGCCCAGAGAAGTGGAATAGCGTTTCCTCCTCAGGCCACAAAGCAGGTACTCTGCATGCTGAGGCAGGAGGGCACCTGTTACAGATCCATCCCTCTAGGGGTTCCCCCAACACAGTTCAGTTGTCCTGGTGAGAAAAGGATTGGCCAAAACCCTGAATGGCAGACATGAGGCAAAACTGCAGTCCACTTACATGCCCCAGTACAAGAAAGAGAAAGGGCCAGGCCGTGCTGGGGGGTGGAGGGAGGACATCCAGCCTCTCTCGTGAATAATCCTTCGCCAGTGACCAGGGCGACCCTTTGTCACCCATCGGGTTGGCAAGGGGTGAGCAGAGTAACTGTGCTCAGGGCCGACAGCTGAGTGAGGAAACGGAGCCCTTGCCCGTGCTGGGGGGAGCATACACAGGTGAGCCTTGGTGGAAGGCCGTGTGCGGGCATGTGTCAGCATCTCAGACACCCCTGCCGTGACCCTAGCCACCTTCTAAACAAGTCCTATGCCAGTGAGTGTTTGTGAGGATGTCCTCTGTAGTGGCGGAAAGTGCAAAGCAGCTTGCGACTCTCCGTCAGTAAGGGAGTAGCCAGTAAGTTGTGGGACAGCCGACAACGGGATGCCACACAGGCAGTGAAACACAGGACAGATGGAGATGTCCAGACATGAAGGAATATTCTGGATGTGCCGTCGATGGAGAAATCACCGTGCACCCTGTGGAGCTGTCCAGGACACAGCTTCCACCCTCTGTGTTAGCTTGCCAGGGTGGTTGTATTGAACTACCGCAGACTGGGTGGCTTAGACAACAGAAATGAATTGTCTCCCACTTCTGGGGGCTGGGAGTCCGAGCTCAAGGCGTCGGCTGAATATGCCTCCTCTGAGAGCTGGGAGACAATGTGTTCCGCCCTGCCCCCCAGCGTCTGGTGATTTGCCGGCCACCTTTGGCATCCCATGGCTTCTAGATCTCGCCTGCGTCCTCACAAGCCTGTCTGTGATTGTATACGGACACCAGTCATACTGGGTGAGGGTCCATGCAACTGAGCTCATGGGCACTTCAGTACTTCTGTAAGGAGCACTTCCTTCTATATATGGGGTTACTTTTGGAGGACCCGGGGAGTGAGACTTCCAACACAAATTTGGCAGGGATGTAATGCAACCCGTAACAACCTAGAAAGGACCTGAGGGAGGGATGGACTTGGAATCTTCCAGAAATGGAAGGAAGGACGTTATGGCTGCAGGATGGTGAGTAGAGGGGAAAAGAGAGCAGATGACCTAGGGGATGGGGTGCTCACCATAGGGGGTCTTTGGGTCCTGGTGATAGGTGTGGATCTGTCCTGGAGAGGACAGGACTCCCCTAGAAGGCTTAGACAGGGAAGTCATGTGATAGAATCACTCCTGCCCCAGAATCACTCTGACCACGGTGCAGACACTACACTGCTCTGGGCCAGCGGTGATGCAGCAGGTGAGCAGGACACCACTTGAGTGCTAAATGGGACCTTGAGAGCTTTAGACTTGGATTTTGCCCGTGAAGAAGAAGGGGAACGGACAGGCTCTGAGTAGGTTTGGGAGGAGATTAGGATTTGGACCATGGAGATGATGGACAGGGGTCAAGCTCTGAGTAGGATTCGGACCAGACTAGGTTTGTGGCCATGGATACGACGCAGAGGGGTCAGGCGATGAGTAGGGTTGGGGCCTACTGGGAGTGCGGCCATGTGGACCATTGAGACAGGTCAGGCTCTGAGTAGGTTTGTGGCCAGAATGGGTAGTGACCATGAAGAACATGAAGAGGGGACACACTGTGAGTAGGTTGGGGGCCAGACTGGGATTGTGGCCATGGAAACGAGGGAGAGGGGTCGGGCACTGAATAGGTTGGCGCCCAGATTAGGATTTTGTCCATGGAGACGATGAAGAGGGGTCAGCTCAGAGTAGGTTTGGGGCCTACCGGGATTGCCACCCTGGGGACCAAGGAGGGATCAGACTCCGAGTAGGTTTGGCAAAAGACTAGGATTGTGACCATGGAGACGATGGAGAGGGCTGAGGCTCTAAGTAGGTTTGGGGCAAGGCTAGGATTGTGAGCATGGACACCATGGAGAGGGGTCAGGTTCTGAGTTGGTTTGAGAGCAGTCAAGGATTCTAGCCTGGAGAGCATGATGAGGCTTCAGGGTCTGAGTAGGTTTTCAGTCAGAGTAGGATTGTGGCCCTGGGGAGCATGGAGAGGAGTCATGCTCTGATTAGGTTACGGGGCCAGACTTGGATTGTGGTCATGGGGATCATGGAGAGGGGTCAAGCTCTGACTGGGTTTCGGGGAAGATGAGGATTCTGGCCATGGAGACATAGGAAAAGGGTCAGGCTATAAGTCGGTTTTGGGCTAGACTATGACTGTGGCCATGGAGACAATGAAGAGGGATTAGGCTCTCGGTGGATTTGGCGCCACCCTGGGATTGCAGCCACGTGGACCACGGAGAGGGGTCAGGCATTTAGTAGGATGGGAACCTGACTGGGAGTGTATCCATGGAGATGATTGCAAGGGGTTGGCCCTGAGTAGGTTTTGGTAAAGATTAGTATTGTGGCCATGGGGACCATGGAGAGGGGTCAGGCTCTGAGTAGGGTTGGGGGCAGATTTTGATTCTGGCCAAGGAGATGATGGACAGGGGTCAAGCTCTGAGTTGGTTTGGGACCAGACTAGGTTTGTGGCCATGGATCCGATGCAGAGGGGTCAGACTCTGAGTAGGTTTGGGGCCTACTGAGAGTGTGGCCATGTGGACCATGGAGAGGGGTCAGGCTCTGAGTAGGGTTGGGGCCTACTGGGATTGTGGCCTTGTAGACCATGGAGAGTGGACAGGCTCTGAGTCAGGTTGGTGCCTACAGGGATTGTGGCCATGTGTACCATGGAGATGGGACAGGCTCTGAATACAGTTGGGGCCTACTGGGATAAGGCCATGTGGACTATGGAGAGGGGTCAGGCTCTGAGTAGGGTTGGGGACAGATTAGGATTCTGGCCATGGAGACGATGAAGAGGGTTCAGGCTCTGAATAGGTTTGTTGCCAGACAGAAACCGTGGATATGTGGACGAGGGAAAAGGATCATGCTCTGAATAGGGTTGGATCCAGCCTGAGATTGTGGCCACGGGAACCATGGAGATAGCTCTGACTGAGTAGGTTTGGGAGCAGACTAGGATTTTGGCCTAGAAACAATGGAGAGGAGTCAGGCACTGAGTAGGATTGGGGCCAGACTGGGATTGTAGCCATGGGGACAATGGCGAGGGGTTAGGCTCTAGATTTGAGATCAAACTAGGATTGTGGCTATCTGTCCATGGAGGGATCACACTCTGAGTAGGTTTGGGGCCAGACTGAGCTGGAAGCCATCCGGACCATGGAGAGGATGCAGGTTCTGAGTACATTTGGAGCCTGACTGGTATTGGGGTATGTGGACCGTAGAGAGGGGTCAGGCCTTGGGTAGGTTTGTGGCCAGACTAGTATTCTGGCCTTGGAAACCATGGAGACAGGTCGGGCTCTGAGTAGTTCTGGGGCCAGACTATGATTGTGGGCACGAAGACAATGCAGAGGTGACCAACCGTGAGTAGGTTTGGGGCCAGACTCT